GTAAAATGCCTTAGATGCCCTGGGATCAAGTTCAATTTAGGGCTCTAAGAGTGCAATAACATTTTTCAAGAAAGATTGATAGAAGCTGGGGTTCAAAATGTGTTTTTTTATCCAAACGACACTGCTGTTAACAGGTGATCAAATTTTTCACACAGCGGGTAATACCCCCCAACACAAAACTCAAAACTTACTTTTTACAATGCAAAAGAAAAATCAAAATGATGTGTCTTCAATTTTAGGAATTTCAAAGCTCACTGTTGCCAGACTTTTCCCTGGCAGAGCACACACAAAGTGGTTGAATTTATTAGAACCCCCCAGCTGAGATTCGTGCTGTGACACCGAAGTGTTCCATAATTCTCTCACAGCCTTATAATAAGTGATAGTTCCCTACCTTTGCAAAGAGAAAGACATCTAAGACACTACCTCAGCACACAGAGGGAGAGCAAGATTAACAAAAGAATACATTAATTTTTCTGTGTATCCATAGGGAAAAGAAATAATCAAAACTACAAAATTACATTGATTTTAAACTGTACTGAGACAGGGACAGCGCAGTGGCATGCTGGTTAACACAGCTGGTGGCCTGGTATTTAATTCTGGACTAAGGTGCAGCTTCTCCCCATGTTCCCCATGTTCATGTGGGCTCTCACTGGGTGCTCTGGTTTCCTTTCACCTTCCAAAGACATGCAGATTAATTGCCGTCACTGAATTGTGTGAGTTTGCCCTGCAATGGTCTGGTCTAGAATATAGGGTGGAACTTTGCTCCCTACATTTCTGGATGTGGCTATGGGTTACGGCAACCTTTTCCAGGAGTCAGTGACTTTCTGGTTGGATGACTGGATGAAAGGAGCACAGTAATAATTTGAACCCTCTTTTATACATTCCATTAAAGTATTCCACAGATCTCACGCCATCATATGGTATAAGCACACTTCCCTAGTATGGTAAATGACTTTGATGATGTAGGTGTCACAAAAAAGGATTTTTTTCCTTCCAGGTTCAATTCAATATGCTCCTTTGGCATGGCCAAAACTAGCAGTGTTGTGAGGGCAGTTTTAAAGTAAATAAAATAGGGGCAATTTGGGAGCAGTAAGACAGCTACAATGCCACATATTAGTAATCAAATCCTCCTGGTGGACATTTTACAGAAAATGAATATTCAGGCTCTCTTCCTGTCTAACCCCAGTCCAGCAGTGCTTAAAGTACAACTTGCAGTGTAAGGTTGGTGCTGTCATGCCCACCCTTCTGTTAGAGAGGTGCCAGGAGGATATTCCTGGAGGCCACTGAGGTCGCACTGATTAGGTCGATCTGATTAGGAAGCAGGAACGTGCTGCCCACCCAGCAGGGGTCAGACAGTATGGCACCTCCTCTGTTTAATGAGCTTCTCTAAAGATCACAACATTCCAGGCTACATGCTGCATCCAGTTGAGCTCACTGCATACTTTACATCTCCTATTAATTCTGGGCCCCCATCACAATCAATCAATTGAAGTCATTCTTTTTTGGTACTGTATCTTTGTTTGCTTAAAATATATTCTCTACAGTATGAAATAATTAGCTTCAAAAGGAACTCAATTCTGGAGAAAATAAGAGTAAGACTTTAATAGGGATTTTCCCAGAACTGGACAAAAACTGTTTCAGGCCATACTGTCAAAATAAATGTAAGTACAACTGAGATGGGCATATATTGAGATCAAATTTAAACATATATTAGATACTATATATGTCGGTAGTTCAATTATGTTTTTGAAATAAAGCAGTGCCTTCCAAATGTATTCATATGCCTGGTGAAACAGGAACAAAAAATATCAAATAAAGCTAAGATTTAAAGATTGAATAATTTGTCTTGCTTAAAAAATTCTAAAAATGTTATGCGGTAGTGTAAATCCCACAGAGTCATATTTGTCGTAAATAAAATAAAGAAAGAAAGAAAAAAAACACAAGGGTCGCATTTATTCAGAATGCTGTAGTTTGTGTTTTGTAAACCTCCTGTGTACCATAATTAATTTATGTTTGTCAAGCTCTTCTCATCCCAAAGTTTCAGGCTGTTAAGGGATAATGCTACTGTCTTTATTAAATGTGTTTTTAGTTACTAAAAAAAAAGGAATCTTTGTCCTCATATTTTCTTTTTGTATTTGTGTGGACTTTAATTTACACTGATACTATGATTTCAAGAGACATGCAACTTGTTTCAACATTCTGCTGTGCATGAGAGGTGGCCAGACACCCATGCAAACACTGGGAGAACATATCAAAATGCACATAGACAGCATTCAGTACATAAAAAAAATCTGAATACTTTAATTCAATCAATAATATTCAAAATACCAAAATGACTCGTATCTAAACAACAAACAATATTTAAGAATAAAGCAGGAGGAATATAATTGCCATTTGTCTTTGTAGGAGTGAGGTACTGCAAACAGAGCCAATTTGGAAATGAGTGGCTTTTTCTTTAGCACTGATACTAGTGCATGTGACTGTCTGTGTGCGTGTTCAATTCTCAAACTGCTTGGAGAGGAAGTGGGCATTAGGAGATGAAAGACGGGGGAAGGGCTTGGAGAAATAGCAGAGAAAGAAGTAAATGAAAGACATAAGTAATCTTCAGTGGGTCTTCTTAACATCTTCCTCTGTTCATGAAGGCCATGAATGTAAGCTGAGTATATCCATAGATACTATCAGTACATCTCTAAGCAGCTCTTTTGTACAGCAGCCATCTACTGTCTCACAGTGAGACGCTGCTTACAGAATAAATTAGTTTTTCATGAGTTACACACTTTTTTTTTAACTTAGTGGCACAGCAATTTCAGAGCTTGAAGGCAAAGAGATTCTTCCTTTTTGCATATGTTATGAGGGTAATGAGAATATTAGCTCAAGGGCCTTGTACATATTTTTGATAGTTTCATATTATTACGTGGTCTCTATGTTGTATAAAGAAGATAACAGTGTGCATTACTGTAGGAAACTTTTAATAACAAGGTTAATTTTTACTCGTTCAATCTGTGTGATGCAGGGCTGTGTTCTTTTTAGAAATCACAGGTAGCTGGTTTCCTCTAACAGGAAACCTAACAGTTTGGAAAGGGAAAACATTTTATGGGATGTGATTCTTAGAAGTAAAAATAAAATGCAATTAGTTTCATTGAGAGCCATTCAATCAAATCACTATGGCACCTGCAAGTGCTGCCCATCACTAAAGAGTAATTCAGATTCTGTCAGATACAGAAAATACTTCAGACTTCAGATACTTAAATGTGACCATTATACAGTACTTATTACATCACATACATATACAGTATGTGCATTCAAATAGGGCATATTATTTAGAAGGTGAACTTTGTGTTTTTATTGTGATAGGGCAGAATTATTCCTTCTGTTTAAGTTTTCATTAATGCCATTAAAGTGCTCTCAGTTCTCAAACATTATTAGTAACTATTACTCTTCCAGGGAATAAGTCCTTCAGCTTAATGTTGCTGCACTTGACTATTTTTCGTGAGTTAAATGCAGTGAAAACATAATGCTACGGTATTTTAAATGGCATCTCACAGTACCATACAGATTTAATATTTTTACTTGGTGCAGGTAAAGTAACGTAAGCTTATTAGTATCATATTTAATCTTCTTAAAATCTGAATCTCTTCTTAAGGCTTCTGGGATTAAGCTAAATGCACATTATTTAAAAATAATAAAATAACCAAATAAATCCCGGCATCAAACTATGCAGCATGCACTTTTCTTTTTGTGCATATTGTGATGTCGCCGGGGGATAGTTTATGTAAATGAAGGTAGTACTTACACAACACTTTACTGTCCTCAGATCCGTGGCGTTTCTTCCAATAACTGTCTTCCTAATACAGTCCGTAATCCGTTCCCTTAGTCCTGATCCGTTCCGAATTCCAAAAGTTCGTAATAAAGCCAATCCGCGATGTATCCTAAACCAGTGCCCGTAATCCAAAATTATAAACCTTCCTTCTTGCAGTAGTTCGTTGTTCCTTAGTCCGATCTTTAACCTGCACCTCTTTTCCTCCAAAACGCATTCACCGTTCCGGCTTCCGCGCCGTTTACTGCCTCTGGGCCACTTATATTCCGGTTACTGATACGTCTCAGCTGTGTCTCATTGTTTCTTAAGGTAGACCCTTTCCATCTACTGGTCAGCTGATTCTTTTTGTCCACCATCTTGCTAAGGTCAATCTCTAGCATTTTCAGCATTTCGTTTCGGAAATACCTGTTAGAGATGACCCTTTCCCGTGTCCTCTTACATTCCCTCCCCCTGAGATCAGCCCCGACCTCGGGCGATCTAGAAAAAACAAACAGTGCATTCGGGAGAGGGCGTCTACATTTCCTTGTTTCCTTCCGGGTCTATAGACCGTCTGAAATTGAAATCTTTGCAGACTAAGACCCCACCTCGTAATTCTATTGTTTTTATCCATATTTTGTAACATCCATGTTAATGGCGCATGATCTGTGTATAATATAAATTGTCTTCCCAATAAATAATACTTCAAATAGTCTAGGGCCCATTTGATTGCTAGACATTCTTTCTCTATCGTAGAATAGTGTTTTTCGGCCGGATTCAACTTACGGCTGATATACAGAATAGGATGCTCCAGTCCTTCAATCTCCTGCGACAGTATGGCTCCAATCCCAGTGTCTGAAGCATCAGTTTGTACCATGAAAGGCTTACTGAACTCTGGTACCTGTAAGACGGGTTGAGAAGTAAGAGCTGCTATTAAGTCTTGGAAAGCCCTCTCTTCCAAGTCGGTACATTTTATTTTCTCCGGACAGCTCATCTTCGTCAGATCGTGTAGATGGGCGGCCATGGCTGCAAACCCTGGGATGAAACGCCGATAGTAACTTGCCAGTCCCACAAACGTTCGAATTTGCTTCTTGGTAGCTGGTTTGGGCCAGTTCTTGATTAATTGTACTTTCTGATCTTGGGACATGATCAATCCTCTCCCGATCGTATAACCCAGGTAATTGGCTTCCCTAGCCCTCAGACAACATTAATTTGGGTTGGCCGTTAATCCTGCTGCTCGCAACGCTCCAGTTACTGCTTCCAGGTGTTGTAGATGTTGTTCCCAGGTCATGCTGTGGATTACAACGTCATCCAAGTAGGCGGCTGCAAAATCCCGATACGGTCTCAGAATTCGGTCCATCAATCTTTGGAATGTTGTGGGAGCGCCATGCAAACCGAAGGGTACGAATCTATACATATATAGTCCTTCAGGTTTGGCAAAAGCGGTTTTGGCTTTATCTTCTTTGGCCAGCGGCACTTGCCAATATCCCTTCGTAAGATCAAGGGTGCTGATGTATCGAGCATTACCTAATCGCTCGATTAGTTCATCTATACAGGGCATGGGGTATGCATCAAACCGCGAGATCTCATTTAACCTTTTGAAATTGTTGCAAAATCTGATAGTTCCATCCGGCCTGGGGATCAGAACTATCGGGCTAGCCCACTCACTATGGGATTCCTCGATTATTCCCATCTCCAGCATTTTACCCACCTCTTCTTTAATCAGTTTCCGTTTGGCTTCTGGTACTCGATACGGGGGTAGCCTTACCTTTTCCCCCGGTTCCGTGACGATCTTATGTTGTACAAGGTGGGTTCGACCAGGTGTCCGGGAAAAAACATCTTTGTTTTGGGACAGGAATTCTTGTAGTTTCTGTTTTTGTGCCGGAGCCAGGTCTCCCACGGCTACCACACCCGTTTCTTCTTCCAGAGGGTCTGGGGAAAAGTGGGTGAGCAGAACTTCGGAGCCATGCCATTTTTTCAGCAAATTGACGTGGTAGATTTGATGCTGCCGTCTTCTGTCATGTTGCTTGACCTTATAGTTGACTGGCCCCACCTTTTCCACCACTTCATAAGGTCCCTGCCAGGATGCCAAGAATTTACACTCTGGGGTTGGCACCAGTACTCTGTCCCCAATCTGAAATTCCCTCGCAACTGCTCCCCTATTATAAATTTGTTGTTGTTGAGCCTGGGCTTTTTCCAGGTTTTCTTTCACTAAGGGAACAATAACATTTATTCTTTCTCTCATCTGTTCCACATGCTCAATGATAGTTTGTAAAGGGGAAGGTTGATGTTCCCACGATTCTTTGACCACGTCCAATAGGCCCCGTGGTTTCCGAGAGTATAATAATTCAAAGGGGGAAAATCCAGTCGAAGCCTGCGGTACTTCTCGAACCGCAAACATGAGATACGGGAGCAGCTGATCCCAATTTTTTCCATCCTTTTGCATCGTCTTCCTAAGCATGCTTTTCAGGGTCTTATTAAAACGTTCTACTAGGCCATCGGTTTGAGGGTGATAAACAGAGGTTCGGATCTGCTGTATACCCAGCAGCTTACATAAGTCTCGCATGACTTTCGACATAAAAGGTGTTCCTTGATCAGTTAAGATCTCTTTAGGAATTCCGACTAGAGCGAACAGTTGTACTAGCTCCCTAGCTATGTTTTTGGCGGTGGCAGCTCTCAACGGAATGGCTTCGGGGTACCTGGTAGCATAGTCTACTATTACTAGAATATATTGGTGACCCTTGGTGGTTCTGATCAGGGGCCCCACTAAATCCATCCCAATCCGTTCGAAGGGGGTTTCAATAATTGGGAGGGGAATCAAAGGGTTCCTATAAGGTTGTGGCGCACTTTTCTGACACTCGGGGCATTCCCGACAGTACTTCTCGACGGCCTTATAGATCCCTGGCCAAAAGAACCTAGAGAGGAGTCTCTCGGATGTCTTCTTTACCCCCAGGTGCCCACCCATGAGGTGGCTATGGGCCAAGTTGAGGAGCTTCATCTGGTAAGGCCGGGGAATAAGGAGTTGTTCCACTTCTTCCTGTCCCTTCTGCTGCACTTGATAAAGGAGATTATTCTTTGTCATAAAATATGGGTAACTCACTGTGTTAGGATCAGTACACCACTCCCCATCAGTTTTCCTGACATGTCCCCACGCATGTCTCAAGTTCCCATCTTCTAGTTGGGCCGTCCCAAACTTACCCCAACGTTCTGGGTGTTCCCAGTTCGGTAGTTCCATATTTCCAAACTCAACTACAAGTTCAGTTCCGCTTTCTTGTGGGTCCGTCTCATCAGGGTCGCCGGTAGGGGCGTCACCACTGTCTTCCGGCCAGGGGATTGGTCTTGGCCTAGCTGATTGAATCGTGTTCCAAATCTGGAGGAAATGGGGACAGTCTCGTCCCAGTATGACAGGGTATGGCAACTGCTCAACCACTCTCTACTGTTCTGTAGAGATGCTCAATTCGACCGTCGGATAGTCTTTGGTGTCCCCGTGAATGCAAGTAATAGGTATTCCCTTTGTTCTTGGAATCTCTAGATCTCCCGGAAGTATTGTAGGGGTCAACAGGGTCACCGCACTGCCAGAGTCCAATAAGGCCTCGATGGGTTCTCCCTCTATCTCAATTTTCATAAGATGGGGATCCTCGCGTGTCGGGACCCCTGCTGTAAGGTAGTTGCATAGGGCTTCATCTCTGGGGTCTACCTGCATGGGTTCGGGCAGGCCGGGGCAATAGCTGGCTAAATGCCCTTCTTCCTGACAATTAAAACATCGCCGGGACCTTGAGTCAGACTTCCCCCGAAGGGTTTTTTTTAAATTGTATAGGTTCCCGATAATCACTATACTTTATTGGCCGATACTTTATTTCGGTTTCCAGACTCTTGGGGCTTCTTCTCTCCTCCCTCCGAAAGTCCCCTTTTCTCTCCCTAATCAGGGCCTCTGTGGCATGGTGTCTGTCCACCCAGTCCACGGCTTGATCTAGGGTCTGGGGATCCCCTTCACTTACTTTCCTTTTCAGGTGCACAGGCAGACTCCTCACAAAATGATCCAACACCACCCTTTCTACCACCTGTCCTGGGTTTAATTCTTCTGGTTGGAGCCATTTATTTGCCAGATGTACCAGGTCAAACATCTGAGACCTCGTAGGCTTGTTCATCTGGTAGCTCCAATTGTGGAACCAGACTGCTCGTATCGCCATGGTTACCCCTAGTCTTGCCAATATTTCGTTTTTCAGAGTCTCATAATTCTCTGCATCTTCTTCTTTTAAATCATAATATGCCTTTTGGGCTTCTCCAATTAAATAAGGGGCTACTCTCCCAGCCCATTGCTCTTCGGGCCATGCATTTCGAGCTGCAGTTCTTTCAAAGGTGGTTAAATACGCTTCCACATCATCAAGCTCAGTCATCTTTTCTAGCGTAATTTGTTCTTCCTGAGCGGTGCCTCTCCCCGCTACCGGGGCCTGCCGGATTTCTTCCCTTAACCTGCACAACTCTGCGCGTATTAATTTTTGCTCCTCTATAATTCGTTCGTTGGTTTCTTTTTGGATTTGGTTCGCCTCCAATTGCGCTTCGTTAGCTTCTCGTTGTCCTTTTAATGCCTGGAATTGGGCGAGGGTGGCCTGGGACAACTGCTGTATTAATTCTTCCATAGCGTTTCTTCACACGCGCAAAGCGGAACCCGCACACACACACACAAAAAAACTTGCTCTCTTTGATTTTTCAAACCCGAGCGGGAGCTGCCCGCATCCTCCACCAATTGTGGTGTCACCGGGGGATAGTTTATGTAAACGAAGGTAGTACTTACACAACACTTTACTGTCCTCAGATCCGTGGCGTTTCTTCCAATAACTGTCTTCCTAATACAGTCCGTAATCCGTTCCCTTAGTCCTGATCCGTTCCGAATTCCAAAAGTTCGTAATAAAGCCAATCCGCGATGTATCCTAAACCAGTGCCCGTAATCCAAAATTATAAACCTTCCTTCTTGCAGTAGTTCGTTGTTCCTTAGTCCGATCTTTAACCTGCACCTCTTTTCCTCCAAAACGCATTCACCGTTCCGGCTTCCGCGCCGTTTACTGCCTCTGGGCCACTTATATTCCGGTTACTGATACGTCTCAGCTGTGTCTCATTGTTTCTTAAGGTAGACCCTTTCCATCTACTGGTCAGCTGATTCTTTTTGTCCACCATCTTGCTAAGGTCAATCTCTAGCATTTTCAGCGTTTCGTTTCGGAAATACCTGTTAGAGATTACCCTTCCCCGTGTCCTCTTACAATATGTAATAATCCTCTCTGTTATTACCTATTGCTGGAGATGCATTGCTAAATATAATTTTTAGGTTAAGTTGCACGAACTCTGTTTACAGTATGTATAGATCAGTAACATTAGTTATGTTTGTACTTCTTTTTATGATTCAGCACAGAATTAATGAAATGTTTTTAAAGCAATGGTTAATAGCCCCCTTTTAGCAAGACTTGTTGAGTGATCTGATCATTACCCACTAATCTGACTAATGTTACAAATTTCCACAGGGATCTGTTGAAGTGTCACAGTAGTTTATCACTGAAATAGCTTTTATCACAGCCCAACACAATGCACTGCTGCATTGGTCAGGATAAAAAGCAGGAACATAGCTGTAATCTTAAAAATGTCTGCATTCAAAGAAGGTACTGTGTTTAAGTTTGTGACAGCTTCAATCTAATATACTGTGGTAGTGAATTTTCTTGCAGCCTCCTTCAATCTGGATTTAGATAATTTCTTTCTCATCCATGATAAGGGTTTATCTGGTAATTTAAAATGTTTAAGTAACTTCAATAAAATGCTTGGCAAAAAGAAACCAACATTTGGTAACAATTTCTCTAATCTGTTAGAAGGTAATGCATTTTTAAAAGTTCAAATATGAGTCTCGACATATGTGAAATTTGAATAACTAATCTTAATATGTACAGTAATTGGGAAAATTGTACATAATATTCTGCTCTGATTAGGTATGCAATTTTATGCCACTCTGTTGTTACAATTGTGTTTATCCTTTGCAATAAACATACAAAACTAAAATGTCTGTGTTTAATAAAAAGCAATAAAATAATCTTGCCATTTTCTGAATCAGAAGATTTAATGTAAATGATTTACTCAACAAATAAATCATATAATCTCTGGACTAATGTCAAAGCTCAAAACTCATTTTCACTCATTCACTCATTTTGTACCTCAAATTATTTCTAGATAATTTTGAAAAAAAATTAACTGGGGAAAAATCTAATTTATTTAGCCCCTTTAGGTGATTTCCCCTTGAATAAATTAGCCTATTTAATGGACTAAGGAGTCTATTATCCTTTATAATTACCAACAGAAACCAAGAAGCATATTTTTCTTCCCTTTGAGAAGAATGCTTAAAACATCTCCCTATTAATGGTTTAGAAGTTTAAAATATGATAACGGATAAATCATTCCCCTGGTCTGATGGGGGACCAGCACGTTCCCTACTCAGTGGAATCATCTCCTTGTTGCATTGTCTTTCTGCTCAGAAAGGCATCAGCAGGATTGATGGGATTTATAGTTTCCAATTTCCCTTCTAAGTGAGGCAAAGTAGTGCCACCCACTTTCCCATGATTTGCACATTTTCTATAATTCTTATTAACATTGTTATTAACCTTCAGTTGTCATTTCTCAGAGCATTGTGGGACATCCTCTTAGGCTTGTACATGCCAAACAGCAGGGTTGATGAACAGCTCTGCCCAGCCCACACAGCCCCGCCAGCAATTCAGACTGACAATGCTTAGGGTTTAAAGGACAACACTTATCTAGAGTTGCTTGTTGCTTCACAAAGAAAGCACCCTGCAGAATTCCTGTTTCATCCTTGCTTGAATGACAGGTAATTTTTTCCTAGCTGCTCTAAAATTCCAATGCCCCCACTCTCAAGAAATTTGTTTTTTCTATACACAGATTCCGCATTCATTTTCATAATGCAGGCTGCATTTTATTAGCAATTCCATAAATTGCACTGTTTCAAAGTATCTATAATTTTTCAAAAATGTCTTTGTCAAGAAACACACTACAGTATATTATTAGTTCTCTTGTTTCGGCCCTTTTACTTACTAAATTGCTTGTTTTGGGACTCTAGACCAGAAAAGATTAATACCCTCACAAACAGAACACTGCTGAAGAAATGGGTAAAAACTGAGTTTCACATAAAATGATTGCATTCTAAGTTTAGGTTCTAGTCCTGTCACTGACTGACAGCTATAGCGTAGATTTCAGGAAGGGGTCTCACTGAGGTAATGCAGACCACAACAGAAATGAGGCAAAGACATGTTGCAGATTGATTGCAGTTCTTGAGCTACGCTTGTCTGCACCATTACCGATCCCTCTAAACTGAGGTTTAGAAGGCAGTGTTCCACAAATGAAGCGTGGAATACAAAAAAACACATTAAAATGGATACATTACTGTTCATTTTTTTCCATTGAATACATACTGTATAATGATATTTCACTATAGGACCTGGGACAGACCTTAAGCTCAAGCCAGCTGTTCTCATAAGAACTTCTAGAGATCCTGAGGTTCAGACACCAGTCACAGCAATTTTAAAAAGTACTAGTCTCATCAAAAGTTCAATAAGTGGTGGCTGTCGGAAACTATGCATATGAAAACTCAAGTGAGAAACTGTACATATGCTTCAAGAACCTTGAGTCAAAAACAATGTTCTGCCACCCTTACCTTTCTGTATAGAGTATAGATACCATTGAACATGCAAGTGTAGACCCAATTGTTTTTGACTGTGTGGTAAATTATATTGGCATAAACAGCACTCTCTTGACACATAACATTCACATACCGTACCTGGGAGTGTGGCATTCAGCCTATTTGCATTATTTGGTTGCTAGAAAACTAGGTCGTTCGTGTCTCTCATCCTGCCTTTTCTCGAAAGAAGCGAGGATATCAACTTCATCAGACCCAGACTCTTTGTGTAAAACAGTGCCTCCTGCTCTCAATTTTAAATTCATTTCTCCCTTGTTTACACTTGTGTCTTCTGGTTTGTGTTGCATTGTTGATTATGAAGAAGTTCATTTTGGTAACTTTGTCAAAGCCAATCTGAAAGGTTTTCAATACATGAATTAGGTTCCCTCATTCTCCTTTATTTTCAAGACAAAAAAACTTTTTTTTTTTCGAGGAGTGCAGGAATTATTCTAGTTGCTTTACTCTGGTCTAAGTACAGAGCAGCAATATGGTGACCAAAATGTCACAGTATTTACTACTTTTTGTCATACTGTAGTAATGACATACAGTAGTGGAATGTACAGTACTAATTTTAAAGAGGAAATGCTTATATTATTCTACTGATATTTAGCAACCCAGACAGGAGGTTGAATTCTAAGTAGTTACTCCAGAATTATGTCTTTGAAAAAGCTAAATGAAAATAAGGAAATAAATTGGCTGAATGGGGTGTTTTCAAACATTCCAGGTTATTGAAAAATTCTAATTATTGTGTGTAGGTTTTTTGGTTGTAGTGTAATTTACAGATAGATCTGTAATCAGTGGTAATTCATATTTTCTGTAAAACAATCAATAAAATACATCTTTCTGCATTTGTGTCAAATATAGAAACCTGATGTCAAAATTTAATCCATCCAGACATTTTCTTAGCTCCTAAAAATAATAAGAAAAATGGATGAACCCAAATGATGTGGCTGTTTAATTTTAAACATTGAAGTTGTCCCATTAGGCTTAAGAATTTGAGTTGCGTGCTCCAAAATGCTTGCAGGTAACCACCCTGAGTCGGGAGAGACAGCCCTCCCACGGGGACACCATTAAGAGTCACCTTGTTATTCCTTTCTACAATTACATTAACCCTGTACAGCAGAGTGGGCCTCTCCACACCATGTCTGGAATAACAAATGAAGCCACATGCAACCCGGGTTCTCTGGTAAAATAAATCTGCCGGGCTATCCTTCATAGTTATGTCTACATGTTTTCTTTCTCATTTTCTTTTTTCTTCTGTCTCTTGTCCTCTTTGCCCTGTTATCCAAAATTGTGTTCTTCAGTGCAGTTTTCAGTCAAGATTAGGACATACTACTTGACAGTTTACCACTGTAAAAGCTGCATTACAGTTTACTGTTTATACTATATTATTTCTTATGGCTTTTGGGATGCTTGGGTATATCATGCATTAACTTTGCTCCATTTTTATTTCCCAAGCTCTGCAGTAAGTTTACCATGCCTGTCTGTGTTATACAACCATAATTTCACATTTGTGCTGTTCAGCACATTGCAATAGTATTTGGGAACATGCAATTGTAACTGGACATTGGTAACATTGCATCAGAGCTTTGAGATACAAAATCAAGTATAATAAGACTCTGATACATCTTCTACAAAAGTGTTAACAGTGATAAAATGTTGCAAAGCACAAAATAAATTCAGTGCAATGCATGGCAGACTTTAAAACTTCACTTTCACCCTCACAACGTTTCCTAAAGAGAGACAATACTTAATTTATAGTTTTTTATAAAATGTTATATCCCACCTCTCTCTCTCCATTTTTAACAAAAGGCAACAATATTATTTAAATAGCCTTGTTGGAGAATTGAATGTAAGACTGCTTTCATTCTGATTAAAAACAAATTATTAGGTCAATAAAAATAATTCAGTATGATA